TGTTTAGTTATGTTAAAGGATAAAAAGGTAAAAGTGATGTTCTCGTGTCTTTCCTTGTTCGTCATGGAACAGATATCAAGTGTCACCCATAGCAAAAACATATCAGCAGAAACTTCTTTCCCAGGCTCAGGAGCAGCTGTGTTCTCATGATAATCATATTACTTACTTGTCACTTGTATCTGTTACTTAGATGTACATAAGGCGCTCTTTTAATCCCTTATACAGCACCAAAGAGGTTCTTCTATTGTATACAAGCTTGACATCATAATAATAGTAGAACCCTTTTTGGTGCTACACCAACATTAAAAAAAAAATTTAATAGAACTATATGCAACACGGGCGGCACGGTGGCGCAGTGGGTAGCGCTGTCGCCTCACAGCAAAAAGGGCCTGGGTTCGATTCCCGGCCAGGTGACCACGGTCATTTCTGTGTGGAGTTTGCCTGTTCTCCCCGTGTCTGCGTGGGTTTCCTCCGGGTACTCCGGTTTCCTCCCACAGTCCAAAAACATGCAGTCAGGCCAATCACCCCTAGATGTGAATGTGTATGTCTGTCTGCCCTGCGATGGACTGGCGACCTGTCCAGGGTGTATCCTGCGTTCCGCCCAATGACAGCTGGGATAGGCTCCAGCACCCCACCGCAACCCAGAAGGATAAGCGGTTTAGATGATGGATGGATGGATATATGCAACACAGAGCCCTGCAATGGACTGGCGACCTGTCCAGGGTGTATCCTGCCTTCCGCCCGATGACAGCTGGGATAGGCTCCAGCACCCCACCAGAAGGATAAGCGGTTTAGATGATGGATGGATATACGCAACACAGATATGCAAAGAACCATTTAAGCATGCAAACGATTTTTTTGAGTGCTCATGGTTCTATATAGATGCATTGGGCCTCGTTCTCCAATATCTTCCTAAGTTTGTTCTTAAATGTGTTCCTGATAAAGATCCAAAGAAAAAGTCTGCATCAGATTCATGACGTGTTCTTAAAGCGCAGAACTGTTCTCACCTTTGTGCTCTTGAGTGTGTGTAGATTCTGTTCTTACTTAAGGACAAATCCCAAATAAGAGAACATTGGACGAAAACATTGGACGAAAACATTGGATGAATCTTCGTAAAAAACTGCGTAAGTGGGTTTAAAGAAGAAATTTCTTTTTAAGAACAGTTGGTGAATGAGGCCCATTGTCCTTACTAAAGAACCCTTAAAGAACCATCTTTTTAAAGAGTGTTTGGCTTGTTTTTAAAGTCTGGTGAACATAAATAGAGAAAATAGAATTCATTGGAATTGGTTGGAAGATGAAGCTTAGCTGCACTGTTGATTTGTCAGAAGTGTTTTCATGTAAGCAGTACAGTCAGAAATCCTAACTCAGGCTGATTCTGACCACTGGGGTGATTGGAAATCATTTTGCATTTTGTAGAGGTGGAGGTAAAATATGAAACTATTATTTGTTTATTTATTTTTTCCTGACCACTGGTGCGTGATAATACACTCTAAAGTCATTAGACTTTGACAAAAGATTAAAGAAAATTTTGAATTTTGTCTTTTTTTTTTTGGATTCCTACTTCAGCCATGTCCAATTCCCACCCGCTAGCTAGGTCTCCACTATCCACAATGATACCAAGCTAGGGTAGTAAAGGCTAGCACCCATGATAGCACTGTGATGTAGAGCCAGTGCTAGAATTGTGGGCCCCACTTTATTTAGATAGCCCCCAATAGATTATCTACACTGAAAAAAAAGTATTTCCACTGTCAAAGATTTAATGTTTTTCATTTAATGGTCAATGAAAATGTCAAATTGTAATGGTTAGTGGAAAAAAAGGTTAAATACTTGTAAATAAACCATGAATTTTATTTTATTATAGGAATATATCACTGCTGTCGGAAGGAAACCAAACTCTCCAATCTCCATTTTTGTCATTTTTCAGTTTTTTTCAGTTCATGTTGCCCTTGACATTGTGTGTCAATTTCACGATGAATGGACCGAAAGAAACGGCCCAAAATGACTTGGAAAAAAGTCTGGTTCCATTGACTTACATTAAAAGTAAAGTATGTTTTTTCTTTCTCCTGTAAAGTTACCATTTTGGAGATACGAGGTTTTCTTCCAACAACAGCGATATGCTAACTAAGCTCTTGTTAGCTTAGCCAAAATGCTACATTCCCAAACACCACAGAACACGTTAGATTTCAGCTTTCGCTCTAACACCAGTCACTCGACTGTGCGCTCTCACATACTCTCTAAATGGATGTCATTTTAGTATCAGTTAGCTGGAATCAAGCCAGAGCTGTGGTTTGAGGCATGTTTGGCCTGCTAACTAAGCTCTCGTTAGCTTAGCTCAAATGCTACATTCCCAAACACCGCAGAACAGTTTTCACTCCAACATCACTCTCACGACTTTTACTCTGTCAGATATTTCTTTTATCATCTACACTTGTGTCAGCAGAGCAGCAGTTGGCCAGAATCAACCCTGTACTGTGGTGTGTGGCACTGTTTGGGTCTGTCTAGTAATGTGAAGTTAGCCAATCAGGCTACAGATTCAAACACAAGAGAACAGGTTCATTTCTGCCTTTCAGTTCCTTCAGCATCAGTTGCTCAACTTCACTCCCTCAGATTTGAATCCTCATCATCTAAACCTGTGTTGGTGCTTTAGTTAGCCAGTGAGCAGAGCTGTTATTATGCTAGCTAAGCTAATGCTAACCAGCTCCTCTCTCCTGTTTAGCTCCACTGTTTAACATTTCTCTGCTAGAAAAACCAGCATAGATCAGCATGGCTGGTCACCAGCAAAGCCAGCATATGTTGTGTTTTGGGTGCTGGTCAGCAGCAGTGAAAGTTGATATGCTGATCATCACCAAAACATATGTTGTGTTTTTGATGCTGATGTACCGGTCAGCCGGCATGACCATGTCATACTATGCCAGGTATCAGCAATTCCACAAAATTACACTGATAATAAGTACTATTAGTGTATTGTTGATGTGTACATCAGCAGTTTATCCAGACATCGCATTTTTTGTCGCTCAACTCAAGCGCTTAATAACAAAGCTAAGCTCTGTAAAACCATGTCTGCAGTAATCCATCTGTGTGAGTGGGTTTAGGTTGTGTTTAAGTTTCAAATTTAGGCCCAATCCCATTTCTTCTTTTCACCCCTACCCCTGGTTCTCGAGTGTCAAAATCTTGCCCTACAAAATGGGACCCTCAAATAAAAAAAAATGCTGCTCTGTAGGCGACCCTGCCAGTCTGCAGTGATAGCAGAGGAGAGTAAAGTTCAGCTTCTCACTGCTTTTATTATTTATTATAATTATTTATTATTATCAATTATTTATTATCCCCCACCTCTAATTCTTTGGTGACACGAAGCTGAAGTCAGATATTCACCAGCTTCTTGTTCAAATTTTCCCGTTCCACCTTAAATGGTGCAGCAGTTACATTCTGGTGCTTCAGGCGTCAGAACTGCTGGACTATTTAAGGTGGAACGGGAAAGTTAGCTTGCTAGCTACCGAGATCAGCATGCTATTAGCGATTTTTTATGCTTGTTATGATGAAAAGGAGCATAATAAATAAAATAAGATAATACAGTGGTTATCGTAATTTTTTAACGGAGAAAATTATCACATTTGTGGGTTTCTTTGGTCTCTTGTTCAGCCATCTTGCTGGTTTTTCTTCTTTTGAATGTGCAAAACAGAGGGCTAAGGGCTCAGTGGCAGGGGTGAGGGGTGAAATGGGATTGGGCCTTAGTCTCACAAGTCGGGCCTGGTCGGGTCCAGGCTGAAAACGTGGGGATGAGAACTTGTGTTTCGTAAATTTAATAAAAGCTAAGGAAAACATGATTAAACAATAAGACCGTTTTCCACTGATGATTCAAAGACAAGAGCAGATCCAAACAGGAACCACCAGAATGAAAGCATCTAAGGGCTAATTAGCTATCTTGCTTGCTAGTTAGCTTAATTTACTAGCTGATACAAGCTTGACATCGTAACAATAGCAGAACCCTTTTTGGTGCTACAGCAACATTTAAAAAAAATTTGAATAGAACTTTATGCAACACGTTCTCCATCAACCTGAAGAACCATTTCACTAGCATGTTGATTTTAAGCATGCTAATGGTTCTTTGATCACTTATGGTTCTATATAGATGCATTGGGCAATTAATATTGTATTGTGAGATGCCCTGCGATTCCCACCCCTATTCCTGATCAGGCCGAACCTTCCTGAGCTGGAAAGGTGGCGATTTCTCAAAAACTGTGGGAGTTGGTGGACAAAAATCTGGCAGGAAAATAAGAAAAAGAAGAAGATGAAAATCACTAATAAGCATCTCCAGAGCATCTACAGTGGGCAATCCAAATAAAGTGTTACTGAATTTAGTCTCATGACTTGTGCTTAATACTCGCGAACCAGAACAAAAGGTAAAAAAAAAAGTCAACTATAATTTCAGGTTGACTTTAAATGATATTTTTTTGAAACAAGCAAAAATATTTTGCTTTTTGGCGCCAGATCCGCCAGGTTTTTACATTGTGTCCTCTTGTTTGCGCAAACTACACAACTTCTCCACAGTGTGTTCTGAACGTGATATGCTGACATTTCGTTTAAATGTCAGTATAGATCCCCCCCTTTTTTTGTCCTAGATGAAAGACGAGTAACGTCAGTAGAGCAGTGCTGGACGGGTCTGCAGAACATTGTGTTGATCTGCTCATCTAAAATGTTCATGCAATCACAATCCACGCCACACCTCTCACTTCTCCTCACCTCATTCATTCCTTTTTTCATCCTGTGTGGAGACCTTTAGAACATTCTGAGCACAGCAAGGTCCTCAAACAGAGCACACTTACACAAACAGCAGAGCGCCAGCACTGGACAAGATTACACTTCATTTCGAGAGCCAGTGACCATCAGCTTAATGTGGCACACTCTCTCTCTCTCTCTCTCTCTCTCTCTCTGTCTCTCTCCCTCCACCTCCCCACCCCCTCCCTCCTCTGATCCCTCCTCTCACAGCGTGCTCTCTTCACTCAGGGAGAAGCAGCTCCCCTGGATTACTCCGAGACCCCGCGGCTACAAGGACAAAAAAACGAGAAGACGTGACTAAGTGGCAGTCAGACAGTGAGTGAGTGAGTGAGTGAGAGAGAGAGAGAGAGAGAAAGCACTCTTCCACTCGCCCGAAACTGGAGCACAAGAGCTGTTGCATGTAAAATAAACCCACCAGGCTGGAAGGAGAGATAGAGGACAAGACTTGACGCGTCTCTGCCAGCCGTCTGCTCTCTGGCGCTTCCCGTTTCTACCAGCCGAGATGGAGGGAGAGGTGAAGGAGAGGAGGAAGATCCAGTTCTCCGTGCCCTCGGCCGTGCCCACCCAGCTGGACCCCAAACAAGTGGAGATGGTAAGAGGATGGGAGTGGAAGTTGTGTCTGGCAAATAAGGCAAAGTGAAACTTGAGTGTTTTGCTGAAGACACTACTTTGCTGAAAGTAGAGTAAAGAAAAACGACATTAATAATAGAGAAAACAAGCCAGAAAATGTTTTCGCAAACTGCTTAAAACCGAATTGACCCACTGTCGTTTCTTAGCTGTGAATTGGGTGGATCGGTGAAAACATGCAGCAGTTTCTTTACATTCAAAAATTTGACAGATCTTTGCTGTGAAATTGGGATTTGTGTGGTTTTCTTGAAGAATTTGTGTTAAAAACTGCACGTGCAAAAAATTTGTGAGTGTAACACAGACATTTTTATTTCTATGTGTTTTAATGTTTGTTGGGGTAGGCATGTAACATCTTTATTTTTCTGTAAAAATTTTTTCTTGATCTTGCTTTTTTCTTAAATTCTAATATTCGATAGATTTGCGATTCCTTTTACAAGCAGAGATAGTGACTAAAGTCATCGACTCAAATTCACCACTGAATGACTCGTGAACTCCATGGCCAACGTTCATGTTGTACGTTAATGAAACCTTTCGTTTCCAACCCTACGTGTAACTTTACTAGTTCAATTCGGCTTCAAATAATGAGCTTACAGAAAAACCTTCAGTTGAGGACAGAACTGAAGTACCACACAGAGCTAAAGCGGTGTTTAAAGGAAAGAGCTAGCATGTAGTTTGCACAACAGCAGCTTTTGTACCTAAAGTTGTCAGCTAATCTTAAGTATTAATAATTTAAAGATCACATTCTTTGAGAAAACTCACTAAAACTTGGCTGAATTAGTTATTGTGCTAACTAGCATACATGGAATTTAAACTACAGACTCAACAGATGTTTCAAGTTGTTTTGTTGGGGTTTTTCCTTGAAACACTGTAATTACTGCATGTTGTGGTTCGTTCTGTCCTTCAGATTGTAGGTTTTGCTATAATGAAAAGCTTGTTTTTCAAAGCCGTGTCAAATCTGACAAGTTTTTATTGAGGATTTGCTTTTGTACAAGGCCTGCAGCTCATAAACAGACTAAACCAAAAAGACTCGACTTGGACTCGCATCCTAGAGACTAGACTCGGACTCTCCGGAGACTTGAGACTCAACTCGGATTTGCACCCCAGAGACTCAAGACTCAACTCACATTCGTATCCCAGAGACTCAAGACTCGACTCAGACTCACACCTCAGAGACTTGAGACTCGCATCCTAGAGACTAGACTCGGACTCCCCAGAGACTCGAGATTTGACTTGGATTTGCACACTAGAAACTCAAAAGTCAGACTTGCACTCTAGAGGCTCAAGACTTGACTTACTCTCCGGAGACTTGAGACTCAACTCGGATTTGCACCCCAGAGACTCAAGACTCAACTCACATTCGTATCTCAGAGAGTTGAGACTCGACTCAGACTCATACCTCAGAGACTCAACTTGCACCTGCATCCCAGAGACTCAAGACTCGACTCGGACTCACACCTCAGAGACTTGAGACTTGACTTAGGCTCATATCTCAGAGACTTGAGGTTCAATTCCGAATCACACCTCAGAGACTCAAAACTCAACCTGCACTTGTATCCCAGAGATTCGAGACTCAACTCGTACTCACACTTCAGGGGCTGAAGACTCAAGTCACATTCATACCTCAGAGACTTGAGGCTAGACTAACAGTCATATCTCAGAGGTTCGAGACTTGACTCACACTCATACCTATGAGACTCAAGACTCAACTTGCACTTGTATCCCAGAGACTCAAGCCTCGACTTGGACTCATACCTCAGAGATTCAAAACTTGACTCACACTTATACCTCTGACAGTCAAGACTCAACTCATACTCAGCTCAGAGACTTGAGATTCAATTCTGACTCCTACCTCAGAGACTTGACTTGCACTCATATCCCAGAGATATGAGACATGACTTGGACTCACACATCAGAGACTCAAGACTCAACTCAGACTCACATCTCAGAGACCTGAGATTCATTGCTGACTCAGACCTCAGAGACTCAAAACTCAACTTGCACTTGTATCCTAAACACTCAAGACTCAACTCGAACTCACACTTCAGAGACTTGAGACCCAACTCAGACTTGAAGTTCAGAGGCTTGAGACTCAACTTTGACTTGCAGCCCAGAGACTCGAGACTTGACTCAGACTTGCACCATAGAGACTCTAAACTTTTCTCACCCTCACACCCTTGATTCAGACTTGAGACTCAATTCAGACTCAGACCCCAGAGACTCGAGACTTGACTCAAACTCCTACCTCAGAGACTTGAGACTCAACTTGGACTTGAACTCACACCTCAGAGGCTCACGATTTGGACTCGCAACTTACAGACTTGAGATTCTGACTCCTACCTCAGAGACTTGCGCTCATTCTGAGCTTCCTAACCTAGATAAGAACTGTTATATAAGGGGGCCATATTTTAGTTCTCAAAAAAGAAGTCACTGGAGGCAGGAGGGCAGCATGGGGCAGACTGGAGAAAGCAAATGCCAACATGTAAGCAGAGCCAAATCCTGGACATTTAAAGTGAATTTAGAAATCCCAAGGTCAAGTCCTGGAAAAAGTGGACGACTGACCACTGCACTGGTTAAATGATCTAAAATTCAGTGGTTATAGGTTGGCTACATGACTCAGATGTCCTCGACTGGTGAGCTAGTGGCAAGAGGCAAACTGTCCTTTCTGGAAGGAACACAAAGCTGACGCAGTTTGTTTTGTCTCAGGTCAGAAACCTTCAGACCACATTTCATTTCTGACCCATAGTGTATTCTGTCATTTGTGGTCAGGGCGTCTGCATCCTGCATCAATCTGCCTGACAACAGATTATGTAATGCTGTGTCGAGCCACTCTCGGCGTGTGAGCGTCGCAGACAGGGAGACGGTGAGAAAGTAGTTCAGCTGCAGCGAGCAGGTGCCATGTCACGTTATGACCCAATTAGAGTAAAGATGGAGAGAGGAGAGGGAATGGAGAGATGAGGAGATGATAGAGAAGGTTACACACACACACAAACACGTTTTGGCCACTCTCCAGCCGAAAAGGACATGAAGTGAGAAGAAAATAAGGTCAGATTTCCCTTATGGGGGGTTTGTGTATGTGTGTGTTTGTTTATCTCATCCCCTCAGGATGATGAAAATGTGAAAACATGAACACTTTGTCATTTTGGGGACATTTGGCTGCTCCCCACACATAAAAGAAGCCAAAACTCATCTTTTGGTTGTTTAAGTTTACAGTAGAAAATCAAATTCACACAATTTGTACCTCAGATGTAGAAGATCAGACAAGTCACTTACTGTGAATGATTAAAATGAACAAACCTTCACTGCTAAGGTAGCCATTTCAGACAACATTGGGGCTGGTCTTCATAAAGGAGGACCAGATTCCTCCATATTTATGACAGTCATTGTCACAAAAAGTGATTCGAGATCAGCACCTTAAGTCCTGAGGTGGTTTGTGAAGACAGACCCTGATGTCTACCCACAGTGTTCGGCTATACAACAAGATTTTGTCCATTTTTATAGATCACAAGTCTGCAAAAGCTTAATGAAGACGTGTGTGCAGTTTGAGCAGTTTTGAGGCTGTATTCATGGAAAAGATTTGGGTGACTATTGACTTATACTATTTGTTAGCAACGTTAGCCTCACATCTCCTGATCTAAACTAAAGAAGCAAATTTGGACTCCAAACATGTCTTGGCTGATCGACTACATCTGAGGAAAGTTGAACATTTTTAAATTTTAGATTTTTCTCCAAACTATTCCTTTAAGGTTGGGACTATGCTAGGTCAAGCACAGCTGCATTTCACTGTTGTTGGAACAAAACCTCAGATCTCCAAAATGGTGACTTTACAGGAGAAGGAAAAAACCTACTTTCCTTTTAATGTAAGTCAATGGAACCAGACTTTTTTCCAAGTCATTTTGGGTCGTTTCTTTCGGTCCATTCATCATGAAATTTACAAACAATGTAAAGGACAACAGGCATTTGGAAATTATGTCAAAAATGGAAAAACGACAAAAATAAAGATACAAGGTTTTCTTCCGACAGCAGCGATTTACACAAACTCATACTCTGGCCCACAGCTCGCTGTGACTAAACAGGCATGACAGTGAAAAGTGTGGAAATAGCAAACAGTGTAAGAATATTTTAAATGACTCCCTTAATTCCCTCACAGCTGTTGTTTATGGAGAACAGCAGGGTAGCAACGGTGCCACACGTCCAGATGTGGCAGGGCAAAACTTATTATTTAAAAAAAAACTAAAGAGTGCTAGTGGAACTACAACTAAGTCACTGACAAAAGACTCTGTCCTGGAATCCAAAAGTTTCCATATGTTTGCATTTTTAAAGCAAGTTTAAAACCGCCTCTTTTTATCCAATAAGCAGTTGGTAATAAAATATACCGCAGTATTTAAAAATGATACTAATATTTGAAATTTTTGATGGTGTTTCAAAATCATGGCATGTCAAATTTCTATTTCTCATCTGAACAGCTAAATAAACACATTTCACCCCTTGATATTTTAGAGGGGTCACTTATAAGTGGTGTGGGAGCTCACCAATAGGTGGTGCTAAAAGAAAGAGGGGGAAAATCAGAGCCAGAAAAAAACTTCAGAAAAACTAAGCATGATAGCAGCTCAGGCTAAGAGCTACACTCAACACAGAACACAGTCGGTTTCAGCTTTCGCTCTAACACCAGTCACTCGACTGTGCGCTCTCAGATATTCTCTAAATGGCTGTCATGTGGTGTGTGGCATGTTTGGCCTGCTAACTAAGCTCTCGTTAGCTTAGCTCAAATGCTACATTCCCAAACACCGCAGAACAGTTTTGACTTTAGCTTTCAGTCACCCCAACATCACTTACTCAACTTTTACTCTCTCAGATATTTGTTTTATCATCGTCAGTTGTGTCAGCAGAGCAGCAGTTAGTCAAACTCAGGCGTGTACAGTTGTGTGTGGCACTGTTTGGGTCTGTAGCTGCTCGCTAAGCTAATGT